ATAAAATAAGGTAGTAGAAGAGAATCTTGAGGTATCTTTATCATCCAGCCTCATAAAGCAGGGTAGGATGGCAGTGAGGAATTCAGAGAAATGGCTGCAGCCAAGATGGTCTGGTACATATTCATTTGGGCCATCACCTACAAAGCACCTTGAAGACCACAAAGACTCTACAATGAACAAGAGATTCATGATCTAGCATAGATGGCATCTCAACATTTAGAAAATCCATAAGATTTTCTTCCACCATCAAAGAAAGTAACTGTGTGACCATGCACAAGTTACTTAGGTAAGCTGATCTGGGGTAAGTCACTAGACACTTAGAGTGAAATATATAATAATGAAGAAACCTTTCAGTTCAAAAATACACATTTATTTTAGGAGTAAAATTATTTTAGGTTGCAGGCTTAAAAAGTCTAGAACTCAAAATTCCCAAATAATGCCTTGGTCAGATTCTTTCTGAAGTGCTGTTAACATGGAAAGCCTCTCAAAAAAATATTCCTAATTTGGGGCGCCTAAATAGACTGAGCATCTGATTCTTGATTTCAGCTCAGGTCATCATCCCAGGGTGGTGGAATCAAGCCCAGCGTCAGGCTCCATGTTGAGTGTAGAGACTCTTCAAGAGTCTCTCTCCCTCTCCTTCTGCCCCTTTACACCACTTATGAATTCTCTCACCCTGTAAAAAAAAAAAAAAAAAAAAAAAAAAAACTAAAAAATTTTTAAAAACTTTTAAAATTTAATTCCCAATTAACGCCAAAAAGAAAGAATACTGGAGTATGAGGCAGATCATTATTCTAGCCTAGCATGACAGTGTGATCAACAAAAATATTGTAATGGCACTTAGTCTTGACTTAAGAGACCTATAGTGTTAGTTTCACCTTTAAATATATGACTTTGGATAAGAAAAGACTTAAGATTTCTTACAGGTGTAAAAGTACATGATTCTATGATTTATTTACTGAGTACATACTACATCTCAAGTATTGAGACAGTTGTGAGGGATACAAAGAGTTACAAATGGATTAAACACTAATACTCTTATTTGAGAACTGAAAGGAAAGGAAATCACCTAAATATTCCTATACCTTCATTAGGCACAATGAAAGCACCCTAAAAAAGCAAATTAAGCATGTACCTTTCAGTGCTGTAGTCTTTTCTTTTTCATCAGGACCTCCCTGCTGGATTTGTGCCATGCTTATCCAAACTGGCAACAAAATTAAAGAGCTCAAGGAAATAGACATCAATCTTCAGAAGACAGTCTAGAATGAATGAAAGCAATAAATTAAGCTCTACTCAATCCTACCTACTCCGTGAGAACTTCATAGATCCTTCCAGTTGGGATTAGTCTCTATTCTGATTTCCCACTGCACTTTGTTGATGCCTATCCCACAGTACTTATCATAGCTTGCCTTGCATTATAGTTATTTATGTATTTGTCTGGGTCAGCTAACAGATTACAAGCCCCAGGATAAAGGTATCAACTTTTTGTCATCTTTATATCTCTCAGGTCACCAAACACAATGCCTCATACACACAGATACCTAAAGTTGCTGAATTTAATTTAACTAAACTTATTGTGTAGGTTTAGTTCTCTATCATCTAATGTTGTTTTATCATTATTATTATTTTAGTATCTCCAGGTAGTTTCAAACTCTGTCAATCTACATGAATAAAATGTGTCTAAATTCCTTCAAGAAACATATCATAGTTTGTATGGTGAACAATGTGTTAGACACCAGGAGGCAGTGGTGAGTAAAAGAGACATGGTCATGGCCAGGGTGGGGGCTTAGCTCTCGGGCTACCAAAACAAACTGCCAATTAGCCACTTATAAAATACATAAGACCTAGAATGATAATTATAACACTGTTATAAAAAAGCAGTATTTGTAAGGCTTATCTATTTACATGCAGGAATTAGTCTTATCTGTCAGGGCCAACAAGTTTGCATATAACTTTACCAGCAACTCCCTATTATATACCATCCTATGGCAGAAATTAAAGAGGAATGTTCATGGGGCACCTGGGTTGGCTGGCTCAATTCGCTAAGCATCTGACTGTTCAATTTGGCTCAGGTTATGATCAAATGGTCATGAGACTGAATCCCATGTTGGGCTCCACGCTGGGCATATAGCTTGTGTGAGATTCTCTCTGTCTCTCTCTCCCTCACACTACCCCTTCCCCACTTGCATACTCTCCATCTCTCTCTCTCCTCTCTCTCTCAAAAAAAGAAGGAAATGTTCATAATAAGAAATCCCATGCACTACTCTCTGTTAACAATTCCACAACTATCTACAAGGACTTCTTGCAGTTTAATTATTCTATCCTTCTGCCCCCCCAATATTTCTTCTCAATATAAGTGGTCTGGTTATTTTTCAATGACCCCAAATTGCCCAGTTTCTAAACAGAAGAATTTGGGGCACTTGCGTGGTTCTATCAGTTAAGCATCCAACTTCGGCTCAGGTCATGATTTCATGACCTTCGGCTTCAGGTTCATGAGTTTGAGCCCCACATCAGGCTTTGTGCTGACAGCTCAAAGCCTTGAGCCTGATTCAGATTCTGTGTCTCCCTTGCTCTCTGCCCCTCCCCTGCTCTCTCTTTCTCTCTCTCTCAAAAATAAACAAACATTAAAAAATTTTAATCAAGAATTTATACTATGATCTCATTGTGACTGTTTCAATGAAAGTGAAATTATAAAATATTTTTTGTGCTAGAGTCATTTTCAAGATTCACATTTTAAAGTTCTGGAGATCTAATGTACAGCATGGTGACTATAGTTAACAATCTTATATTGCAAACTATATTGAAAGTTGCTAAGAGTAGATCTTTTTTTTTTAATGTTTTTTATTTATTTCTCAGAGAGAGAAAGAGACAACGTAAGCAGGGGAGGGTCAGAGAGAAAGGGAGACACAGAATCTGAAACAAGCTCCAGGCTCTGAGCTAGCTGTCAGCACAGAGCCCGATGTGGGGCTCGAATCCAAGAACCGTGAGATCATGACCTGAGCCAAAGTTGGACGCTTAACCGACTGAGACACTTAGGCGCCCCATGTCTGGTATGTTTAGAACTCACTGAGTATTTGCTGAATTTACAAATGCGGGTGGGGGGAGACTCACATTTTAAAGAATAACTTTCAAGATTCTCAAGTTATATATCAATTAATAATATTCTTATTTTATATAAGATAACCAAAAAATACATGTTGCAATTTACTGAAGCGATGATATATATAAGTTACAAGACTACTAATTAGGATCTATGATCCTAAACCTTCTAGCAGCAGATGCAAAGCAGGTAAGCATGAAGCAAAAGCAATTTGTCTGCTGCGGTCTTATTCACTGTTAGATTTTTACCCTCTCAAGTTATTTTCCATGGCTGTGGCACAGCTGGTGAAGCTAAATCAGGAACATTATAAATTCTCAATTTAGTTTTCCTATTAAAAATTCAGAGTTATAACCTGCATGACCACAGATAAACACTACTGAAAATGTGGCCAGCAACCCGTTTGATACATTTGATATATATTAATATGTGCACTCAACATAGTTTATTTAGTATTATCTGATGAAGGTTAGGTTATAGGGAATAAAGTGGTATACGATTTTTACTGATGTGAATTGGGACACAGTTGACATGTTGTATACTTCATGATAACCACTGCTGTTTAAATATGGTTTCCTAGAAATGGTTATAGTATAAACAAGATTCAAAACATCTCAGTTTGCAATTTCATTCTGTGAACTACACAAAGCAATTATCATATCTTCTTTCCTTCTATGATTCCAACAGAGAATCCACTATGTATAAATAAAGCTATAAATAACTTGTCATGTGTAATCTCTATCCAGTCAGCATTTCAAAGCATGAAAAAGTAGAATATTTCTTAGTTGCCCTGTTTGCTCAAAATATGGCATGAGCACTTATAATATGTAAAGGAAAATACACAGAAGCCTACATTTTCCACACCTGTTTGTTTTTAGGTAGGTATTAAATAAGAACTAGATATAGATGATTTTGCAATAGAAGGCTTTCCACCTTCCATTCTGAATGCAACAATGCAAGTATAAAACATATCACAAGACAAGTAAAATTGGGTTAATTTCTTGGAAACTTTTGAGCTGATTTGGTCCCAGAGAATCTATGCTTACTATAGTAGTCAGGCTCTGGAAATCCAGCTCATAATGCCCTACTTGTGGTAAAAAGTACCATAAGTACTTTTTGAATTGGTACCAGAGATTTGCAAGAAACCAAAAGATTTACCCAAATTACAGTTAAAATATCTATGTTACTCAGAAATTGCTCATAAGCAAAGCCTATTTCATAATAATCCTGGACAGTTTACAGTTCTGAGGCTGCAGAAGAAAGAAAGAAGGAAAGAAAGAAAGGAAGGAAGGAAGGAAGGAAGGAAGGAAGGAAGGAAGGAAGGAAGNTCATCATCCCAGGGTGGTGGAATCAAGCCCAGCGTCAGGCTCCATGTTGAGTGTAGAGACTCTTCAAGAGTCTCTCTCCCTCTCCTTTTGCCTCTCCACACCACTTAAAAAATATATCATCCTGAAAAAAAAAAAAAAAAAAAAAAAAAAACTCAAAAATTTTTAAAAACTTTTAAAAATATATTCCCAATTAACGCCAAAAAGATAGAATACTGGAGTATGAGGCAGATCATTATTCTAGCCTAGCATGACAGTGTGATCAACAAAAATATTGTAATGGCACTTAGTCTTGACTTAAGAGACCTATAGTGTTAGTTTCACCTTTAAATATATGACTTTGGATAAGAAAAGACTTAAGATTTCTTACAGGTGTAAAAGTACATGATTCTATGATTTATTTACTGAGTACATACTACATCTCAAGTATTGAGACAGTTGTGAGGGATACAAAGAGTTACAAATGGATTAAACACTAATACTCTTATTTGAGAACTGAAAGGAAAGGAAATCACCTAAATATTCCTATACCTTCATTAGGCACAATGAAAGCACCCTAAAAAAGCAAATTAAGCATGTACCTTTCAGTGCTGTAGTCTTTTCTTTTTCATCAGGACCTCCCTGCTGGATTTGTGCCATGCTTATCCAAACTGGCAACAAAATTAAAGAGCTCAAGGAAATAGACATCAATCTTCAGAAGACAGTCTAGAATGAATGAAAGCAATAAATTAAGCTCTACTCAATCCTACCTACTCCGTGAGAACTTCATAGATCCTTCCAGTTGGGATTAGTCTCTATTCTGATTTCCCACTGCACTTTGTTGATGCCTATCCCACAGTACTTATCATAGCTTGCCTTGCATTATAGTTATTTATGTATTTGTCTGGGTCAGCTAACAGATTACAAGCCCCAGGATAAAGGTATCAACTTTTTGTCATCTTTATATCTCTCAGGTCACCAAACACAATGCCTCATACACACAGATACCTAAAGTTGCTGAATTTAATTTAACTAAACTTATTGTGTAGGTTTAGTTCTCTATCATCTAATGTTGTTTTATCATTATTATTATTTTAGTATCTCCAGGTAGTTTCAAACTCTGTCAATCTACATGAATAAAATGTGTCTAAATTCCTTCAAGAAACATATCATAGTTTGTATGGTGAACAATGTGTTAGACACCAGGAGGCAGTGGTGAGTAAAAGAGACATGGTCATGGCCAGGGTGGGGGCTTAGCTCTCGGGCTACCAAAACAAACTGCCAATTAGCCACTTATAAAATACATAAGACCTAGAATGATAATTATAACACTGTTATAAAAAAGCAGTATTTGTAAGGCTTATCTATTTACATGCAGGAATTAGTCTTATCTGTCAGGGCCAACAAGTTTGCATATAACTTTACCAGCAACTCCCTATTATATACCATCCTATGGCAGAAATTAAAGAGGAATGTTCATGGGGCACCTGGGTTGGCTGGCTCAATTCGCTAAGCATCTGACTGTTCAATTTGGCTCAGGTTATGATCAAATGGTCATGAGACTGAATCCCATGTTGGGCTCCACGCTGGGCATATAGCTTGTGTGAGATTCTCTCTGTCTCTCTCTCCCTCACACTACCCCTTCCCCACTTGCATACTCTCCATCTCTCTCTCTCCTCTCTCTCTCAAAAAAAGAAGGAAATGTTCATAATAAGAAATCCCATGCACTACTCTCTGTTAACAATTCCACAACTATCTACAAGGACTTCTTGCAGTTTAATTATTCTATCCTTCTGCCCCCCCAATATTTCTTCTCAATATAAGTGGTCTGGTTATTTTTCAATGACCCCAAATTGCCCAGTTTCTAAACAGAAGAATTTGGGGCACTTGCGTGGTTCTATCAGTTAAGCATCCAACTTCGGCTCAGGTCATGATTTCATGACCTTCGGCTTCAGGTTCATGAGTTTGAGCCCCACATCAGGCTTTGTGCTGACAGCTCAAAGCCTTGAGCCTGATTCAGATTCTGTGTCTCCCTTGCTCTCTGCCCCTCCCCTGCTCTCTCTTTCTCTCTCTCTCAAAAATAAACAAACATTAAAAAATTTTAATCAAGAATTTATACTATGATCTCATTGTGACTGTTTCAATGAAAGTGAAATTATAAAATATTTTTTGTGCTAGAGTCATTTTCAAGATTCACATTTTAAAGTTCTGGAGATCTAATGTACAGCATGGTGACTATAGTTAACAATCTTATATTGCAAACTATATTGAAAGTTGCTAAGAGTAGATCTTTTTTTTTTAATGTTTTTTATTTATTTCTCAGAGAGAGAAAGAGACAACGTAAGCAGGGGAGGGTCAGAGAGAAAGGGAGACACAGAATCTGAAACAAGCTCCAGGCTCTGAGCTAGCTGTCAGCACAGAGCCCGATGTGGGGCTCGAATCCAAGAACCGTGAGATCATGACCTGAGCCAAAGTTGGACGCTTAACCGACTGAGACACTTAGGCGCCCCATGTCTGGTATGTTTAGAACTCACTGAGTATTTGCTGAATTTACAAATGCGGGTGGGGGGAGACTCACATTTTAAAGAATAACTTTCAAGATTCTCAAGTTATATATCAATTAATAATATTCTTATTTTATATAAGATAACCAAAAAATACATGTTGCAATTTACTGAAGCGATGATATATATAAGTTACAAGACTACTAATTAGGATCTATGATCCTAAACCTTCTAGCAGCAGATGCAAAGCAGGTAAGCATGAAGCAAAAGCAATTTGTCTGCTGCGGTCTTATTCACTGTTAGATTTTTACCCTCTCAAGTTATTTTCCATGGCTGTGGCACAGCTGGTGAAGCTAAATCAGGAACATTATAAATTCTCAATTTAGTTTTCCTATTAAAAATTCAGAGTTATAACCTGCATGACCACAGATAAACACTACTGAAAATGTGGCCAGCAACCCGTTTGATACATTTGATATATATTAATATGTGCACTCAACATAGTTTATTTAGTATTATCTGATGAAGGTTAGGTTATAGGGAATAAAGTGGTATACGATTTTTACTGATGTGAATTGGGACACAGTTGACATGTTGTATACTTCATGATAACCACTGCTGTTTAAATATGGTTTCCTAGAAATGGTTATAGTATAAACAAGATTCAAAACATCTCAGTTTGCAATTTCATTCTGTGAACTACACAAAGCAATTATCATATCTTCTTTCCTTCTATGATTCCAACAGAGAATCCACTATGTATAAATAAAGCTATAAATAACTTGTCATGTGTAATCTCTATCCAGTCAGCATTTCAAAGCATGAAAAAGTAGAATATTTCTTAGTTGCCCTGTTTGCTCAAAATATGGCATGAGCACTTATAATATGTAAAGGAAAATACACAGAAGCCTACATTTTCCACACCTGTTTGTTTTTAGGTAGGTATTAAATAAGAACTAGATATAGATGATTTTGCAATAGAAGGCTTTCCACCTTCCATTCTGAATGCAACAATGCAAGTATAAAACATATCACAAGACAAGTAAAATTGGGTTAATTTCTTGGAAACTTTTGAGCTGATTTGGTCCCAGAGAATCTATGCTTACTATAGTAGTCAGGCTCTGGAAATCCAGCTCATAATGCCCTACTTGTGGTAAAAAGTACCATAAGTACTTTTTGAATTGGTACCAGAGATTTGCAAGAAACCAAAAGATTTACCCAAATTACAGTTAAAATATCTATGTTACTCAGAAATTGCTCATAAGCAAAGCCTATTTCATAATAATCCTGGACAGTTTACAGTTCTGAGGCTGCAGAAGAAAGAAAGAAGGAAAGAAAGAAAGGAAGGAAGGAAGGAAGGAAGGAAGGAAGGAAGGAAGGAAGGAAGGAAGAAAGGAAGAAAGGAAAGGAAGAAAGGAAGAAAGGAAGAAAGGAAGAAAGGAAGAAAGAAAGAAAGAAAGAAAGAAAGAAGTATGTTTTGGAGAGTGTGTGTGCATAGACATATGGACATTGGGGAAAAGGCTGAAGAATGAGCATATCAGGCTGGAGCAGACACAGAAGATAAAGCCCAGGGTAATATGAGCTCATGGTACGTAGAAAATGGCAGCTTCTGCTGAGAATGTCATCTAAGCTTGGATCAAAGCTTAGCTCGGAGGTGAAATACCTGAGTCCAATCTAACTCTTTCTAAAATAATGTCTTAGTTTTCCCAGTCAATGTGATATAGGACGTTTGGTATGAAAAATTCAGCATTTTAATCTCAATTCCACCACCCAGAAGGTGGGTTATCTTGAGAAAGTCATAATTTCCTTAAGAAAACAAGAGCACTTCCTTTGACAGGGCAATTATGAAGATTATATCAAAGCATGTATAGAAAGAGCGCCTGTGTGGATGAGTTAGTTGAGTGTCAGATTTCCACTTAGGTCATGATCTCACAGCTCAGGAGTTTGAGCCTCACATGGGGCTCACTGATGTCAGCAAGATGCAGGCTTTGGATCCTCTGTTCCCCTCTCTCTACCCCTCCCCCTCTTGCATGCATGCTGTCCTCCCCCCAAAAAATAAACATTTAAAAAAAAAACCAAAAAACGTACATAAAACATTTTGAAAACAATAAATTTCTCTATAAATATTAGTAATCCACATAATAGCAAGCAAAATTGGGTTCCAATTAATCTGTACTCAAACACAAGAAGGATACCCAAATTAATCCAACTTAGAGCAATGAGAAACTTCTGATATGTACCATTTGGATGAATTCTAAAAAGAAATAATAAAGCCTCATAATTAATATTTGTTGAGCTGACTTGGGTTTCCAAAACTATACTGAAGATAATCATCATGAAATAAAAATTAATTTTTTTCATATAATTTATTTATATTCTTTTTTTAAGTTTGTTTATTTATTCTGAAAGAGAACACAAGTGGAAGAAGAGCAGGGAGAGAAAAAAAATCCCACGAAGGCTCTGAACTATCAGCACAGAGCCTGATATAGGGCTCAAATCCACAAAGCCATGAGATCATGACCTGAGCCAAAACCAAGAATGAGACACTTAACCAAATGTGCCATTCAGGTGCCTCATTATTTTCTTTTCTAATCTTATTAAATATGTATCTGGAAAATGTTCAAGTATAAGAGTTCTAATTTCATTTAGATAAAAATGTATCCAAAGAATACTGTTCTAACTACTTCCTAAACAGCATATGTTGGTCACAAAGTTAACAAGTCCTTTCATACTCATTACTTTATTAGGTTATCACCACAACTGGCAGAAAAGGAGGGGTTGACATATCTGCATTTTACAGAGATGAGGCATAATGTGCTCTGAAAAGCAAAGTAACCTGGGTCAGGCATCCCAGATCAGTAAGAGGTGGTTGGGATTTTAACTCTAGTCCTGACTACTTCTGGTTAGGGGCTCCTACTTACGAGCTCCTTTACCTGCATCGTGGAGTCATACTACTTAACTTCAACTAGAAAAACTATTTCTGTTTCAACTTCTAGAAGTTTTCGCTTCTGTGTACTAATTTCTATTACCAGCAAGTAGTCCAATATGGAGTCTGAGTAAACTGGCCATAGTTAATTATAGATCGATAAAAGCTGTCCACCAAAACTGTCTTAGTCTATTTGGTTTGCTGTTCAGAATTAAGATTGATAAGAATTACTCATCATTCCTCGCAATATTTTTGTAAATCAAATATCTAGAAGAAAAGGTCAAAAGTAAGGAATA